GGCATCATTACTCCAGTACTCATCCTCGACCTCTTCCATTTGCACTTGACGTGCATTTCTTCGTCTCTCCACGGCAGCTCCTACTTCAGCATCCTCCCCATTCATCTCATTGATTTGGTTGTCCTGCGCGATAGTCCTGACGGTATGATCCAGCGTTCCTTTCAACGCGGGCTTAAACTCCTCGATTGACGATGGGATGGCGATGATCCAGCAATACGACGTAAGCGCTATGGTAAATCAAGTCTGTTTCGTCATCGTGCACTGAAGTCACAAGTAGGGCTCCTCTTCTCTGCTTTTCCAAGTACACGTTCCAATCCGGACATTCCCTGTCCCAATGATTGGCGCTCCCGCATACTTTGCATGGCGAAGGAGGGGCTTTGCCCATTTTAGTGGTAACGTGGTCGTTCTTGGGGAAGGGGTAGCCTCCTTTCGGAGGAGCTCGCTGACGCTTCTTCAGTACCTGGTATACCTGCCTGATCGTCTCATCACCCATCTCGTCGTTTGATGATTCTCCTGGGGGGTCTGGCAACGCTTCCTCTTCCGGTTCGTCTGCTTCAGCCAGATTTGCGCGGCGATACTGACGATTGGACTGATTAGGGGACGCGTTGTTCTGTGAATATCCTAAGCGCCTCAGGACAGACGACAGGTTGTTCATCGTCACTGTCTCGGAATTGGGATTAGAGCGCTTGTAGACCTCCACCAGCGCCTCTTCGTGCTCGTTGACTCGCTCGTATAGTTCCCCTGTAGATTTGACGTTTTCCACGACGATGATGGTACTCCAGGCAATCGGTGCCTTCTGCATGATCAGGAAGACCTCCATGGGACCTCCTTTGTCCAATTTGGCTAGCAACCGCAGGTAACGAATACGTCGACCGAGGAAGACTTGAGGCGATTCTCTCTCGTGTCCGTCCTGGCGGAACGACTGGGCCTCTAACTCCATATTCATTTTGAGCTGCCATTTTTTGCCTAGGTAGTTATCCTTGATAGATTGCAAATAGACCAAGTAATGCGAGCGCATCTCAGCCTGCTTGGCAGAAGAGAGAGTTGAGAACCAAAGTTGAACCTGCGAACCCTTCTTCAAACGCGAAGGAAGCCAAAAACCAAGAGCTACGGGCATCCAACCTAGCAGATTTGCGACTTGACCGACTTCCCAGAAATAATCTATGGCTGTGCCATGATCCCCGTCCCATTCGGGTAACGACTCCACCTTGAGCTTTGGCTCGATGGTGGGGACCATGGTGCCATATGGAGCCCCGGGCGCGACATACGGGAAACTCTTGTCGGCTCTCCCTTCCTCGCTCTTGTCTTCGTCATCGGCTCCTGGGTCGGAAGGAGGAGGTGAAGGCGGTCGCCCCGATTGTCCCTGTGGCGTCTTTCTTCTTTTGCGAGGGGGAATACGTGTGTTTCCTCTCTCGTTCCTGCCTCTTCTGCCTCGGTCCTCATCGTCTTCAGACCCATCGCTATCTGATGACCCTCCTGGATCTCCTCCCTCAGCTTCCTGTGCTGGAGGTTGCTCTCGTTCGGGTCTACTGGGTTGCGGAGCTCGACTGCGTTCACGGGAACGGGAGTTTGAACGTCCGCGACCCCATCGACCTTGCGCTGGGGCACGAGTTTCACTGGTGCTAGCGCGAGCGTGGGCCAGGGCGATATGAGGGGCTTGCTGTTTGCCGGCTTGTTCTCGGTGGAACGAATCTTCCGCTCCTTCGACAATAGTATGCAGAGCGGTCGCAGTTGTTTTTGGTCTTGCAGGTATACCGTGTTCTTTTGTCTTGACTGCCTGGCTGATGGAACCCGGGTACGACGCAGAGGACGCCATTCCTTGCAGCGGGTTAGGGAGCAACAAACCTGGGACTGGAGCTTTGCCGGATGTCAGATCGCGAGGGGAGCTGGGTACCAAAGGTTCGTTGGCCGTCTTGTACTGAATTCCCGACCCCATGTAACCCATTTCGAAGGATCGCGGTCCTTGCGGAGGATCATCAGCCACGTCGGAATCTTGCCCTGAAGAATAGTCTTCTACTGTGGCTCTACGACTCTGTTGCTTCCTTCTTACGGCTCGCTCCTTCAATTCAGGTAAGTTGAAATCAGCCCCCGATCCTCTGCTTGTCCGATCTGATAGAACCCTTTCCATTCGTTCCCCAGCAGCGGAATAGTAAACAGTCGAAGGTTTCGCCTCTGGCTGTCGCTCCGGAAAGGCCTCGGCCAAATGTCCTGGTACTCCAATCGCAGTCGGGAGCCAGTCAGCACCTTGTCGATACCCCGCCGGGAGTTGATCTTGATGGTGCGGTACATTATGGAACAAATAATTGACGTCTTGGATATACGTCTGTCCGGTGGGGAATACTGAATACAACTCGGGCTCAGTCGAAACTGGAGACAGAAGTACGTCCTCGACTTTGGTTGCGAAATATTCGGACTCATATTTATCGAAGTTCCTCTTGGCTAACGCCATTCGTCAATTCAGTCCTACCCAAGCTATATTCAATTCCTCGAGCCCCATTGCGTCCTTGAGGACCGTCATGAGCGTGGCGTGCGGATCGACCAGGAAGTAAGTAGTCTTCGCCGGGGTCACAGTCAACGATCTTAATTGTGCGGCCCTTCGTAGGAGTTCTTGCATGTCCTGAATGGTGCGTTCCGTCTGTAGACTGAAACCAATGTCGAGAGCGAATCGTCCCCTCGGTGAGCTAGGATCCTTGTACACTCCTCTGTCTATGACATCCGACTTGAGCAGCGATTTCTTGTTGACGATGAGGTTCACTCTGGCCTCCAGCGAGCTATCGCTGTCGGTCTCCTCGGTGTACCAAGTCCGCAATTCCTGCATAGGGTTCAAGTTATCCGGAGAGGGGGTCAACGGCCCAAGCGGGCTGCTTGGGGCTGCCATGAAGTTCGGAGGAGTTATCGGTGGTTGAGACTGGAATCGAAGAGGCCCGTCAGGGATGACCTGTGGAGGGGAAGTAGCGCGCGCTCGAGCAGATGAGCTGGCTGCCGGCGTTGGTCTGAATATGGACGGTACACTCTTCTTAGAAATGGATGCGGGTTTAGCAGGCTTAGATAGCGTAGTATGTAGGCTCGGCTTCCTAGGTGAAATCGATCTCGATACTGAACGAGAGGCTGAACGAGGCTTGGCTTCCAGTGCCTGAGTCTCTTCAGCAGAAGGTCGAACCGATTTCCCAGCGGATGACCGAGTCGGTGCGAAGAGCCGGGATTTAACCGACTCCAGGTAGGCAGAGGTGTAGGGTCGGGAATGCCCTGTTCCTCGGCCTCTGAATGAATGTCTTGGTGAGCTACGCGAACCGCCTGGGACGTCAACGTTCCCAGTTTGTCCACTTTGTAAGGATCCGTAAATCCCTACGTCGGGAGCGTTGTGCGCGTAATCCAGGGAGTTCGCGATTCGTTACGTTTGTGGTGAGGACCTTTATATTAACAGTCTACTCTCTAAGGAATCTCGATCAGAGGCCGGATAGCCGTACGCTCTACGCGATCGAAACTCGACCTCCTCCGAATAGTCGGATTGAGGGGAGATAAGACAATAGTCCTACTGTCGTAAGTTGTGAAGGGTGTGTAGTGGTCGTACCTTGAATCGTAACCAAGCTAGAGCGCCTTGGCCTCTATCAGGCTCTCGGAGTATATCGACGAGGCGTGGAAGGCTGTTAGGCAGTAGTTGTTGTGGGTAAAGTAGATAGATTGCACGTGTATGTACTGCCTAACTATACCTACTGAATATAACAAACATGATCTGCGACGCGATTCGAGACTACACAGGTAAAACAGAAAAAGAAAATAGAAATCATACTAGTCGTATTGAAGGTTCCTTACATCCCTCGAATAACCCGGATTATTAACCCGGTTTAATAACCCGGACCCCTGGGAATAACCCGGGCACTCCTGGATCGATCGCCAAGTCAAGGTACCGCTCCTGTACCTTGACATTGGACCCCTTCCTGCCCACTTCCTACACCTCCTCTCCTTCGTACCTTTCATTTATCCTGTGGCATTAACCCTGGGTTACCGCCTCCTGGATACCTATTTTCCTATATAAGCTAGTGTAGCTGCGCTGTATTTCTCTACACTATTCTAGTCTATTCTCCAGAGCCTACTCGACCGTGTTTGCCTTTCTTTCTGTATCGCCCAGTCGCCCACGTTGCAATAAGCTTGCTAAGTGAGGCCCTGTGCTGACACCGAGAGCCTATATTGCATTCCTTGTTAACATTGAGTAGAGTATGATGTTGTCCTCCATCGATTTGAGAACACTTGTCAGGGTGGAAGGTGTGTGTGCGGCTGCACGGCTCAGAGATTCTTGGGCAGCAGAATCACTGTGGTGTCACTGCCATCACAACAGATTGCTGCAGCCGAGCTACACATTGGTGTGGCTTGCTATGCCAACCATGGCCGTTCCTCTGTTTCCAGGTTTCTGCTTTTGCAATACAGTAGGCACAGTAGCTTGGTCAGATAGGGCGGAATAGTACATCAGCAGTGATTATGTGGATCATTCTTTGGTTTTTCTCTTTAAATTCAACACCCCAGCCAAAGGGACAGCAGAAAGGGATGGGAGCAATGGCAATATATTTAATTTATTAATTTTCAATTTCCTACCAGGAGCGGGTTTGATGGCAATTCGTTTTGGAGACTTGGATACAAATTAAAGGCCTTCTGAGCAGCTTGGGGCAAGCCTGGCACCTCTTTCCGCCCTTCCCTGAGAACATTCCCTTCAAGTCGAATACAACGGCTCTCTGGGCAAGCCTGACACAGCAGACACAACTCCGTTGAATATCATTAATATACTTAATTTCAGAATTTCCAGATCACTGATGGTACTAAGTATTGAACCCAAAGTGTGATTCTGACTTATGGGTTTTACACCTGATCCCTCAGTCGGTTTCAGGAATACCATACTGGTAGCAGGAATGACAGCCCTAGAGAAGAAGAAAATGAAAGGAAAACCGCCAAAAGTTAACTAGCTCATTGAGAAAGCAGAAGAGGCTCAAAGCAAAAGCAAAATATTATAGCAGCAACTCGTTTCGATCGAGTGACCTCGGGGTTTCGAAGATTACGTAATGATCTGACGATATGGGCCCCGCGCGCTTCCATCTGCGCCATGCTGCTGTGATAGCACTATCGAGGGAGCCGCCAAATGTCGGGGGAAAGGCATTTTGAGGTCTGGAAGTTCAACGAAGTCAATCGGATGATCACAACCTAATTGGGAGAAAAAACGCGTTGTTTAAAGGTATGGAGGTATTTGGGAGGCCGGGACGGCGGTAGAGTCCTGGGGGCTCCCATCTACGCCATGGTGGTGTTGCGGAAGGGTGGGTGAAGGAGGGGGGAGCCTCTGGTTGATTTTTTTTAGGTGATCGGGAGAATTTTGATCGTTCGATCAAAGTTGAATGGTGAAGATTGCGAAGTCCGAAAGGGGTCGGGGCTTGGCTCTGTGACCACCTTCCGGAGCACCGCATGAGCACCGTACGTTTCGTGGCCTAGAGGAGTCGGGACTTGGGGCATCTCGGCCATTTTAACCATAATTCAGAACGTTGTGCATGTCCTCAACGACAATTCAGTGAATCATCTTCTCGATGTGATGTTTTAGGGAGGTCATCTGTAGGAGCCAACTCCACCAGCACATCAACGGGTCGAAGAACGGCTTACTGAAGAGTGACTCACTACTCACGAACATGTATCACGCCGTCGGCCCGTCAAGGAAGATTAACAAGATGACTTTCATTGGATCCTACTCTTCGCCTATAGATTCTGCGGCATCCACCTCAGCCCCCTTGTAAGCAGGTTTAGGTCTCGGTCGCAGTTGCGCGGAAAGCCCTACGCCCAACTCGGCCTCGACTTGAACTCCTTGAAATTCTGCCTCGTCCTCGGAAGCCACCTTTTTGCGAGAGGAACCTTTCTTCCCACCCCGACCGCGGCCGGTCGCGCGTTTGGGTGCTGACGCCGCTTTCGCTTTCCCCGCCTTGGCCTTCTTCTTGACAGGAACATCCTCCTCATGCTCCGATTGACTGGTTTCAGCTGGACTCGGGGACTTGGAGCCGTGTTTGCGTTTCTTGCGGAAATCGGATACGACTTGTTGCAGACGTTTGCTCGCGTAGGCTTGACGTTTCCGAGGTGCGATGGTCCCACTCCCGGTAATATCGAAGAAACCATCGAGGTTCCCCTGCTTGTTCAATGCGCCATTCTAAGGAGGTGTGAGTTCAAGTCGAGGACTGGCGCGACACTAGCATACCTGGCCCCGCTTGCGGATCTTTTGGATTACCGGCAGTAATAAGCTCGTCGACTTTGACTGGAGACCAGCTGAGCTCGACGTAGAGAAACCTGAAGCGAATGAGACGCGAAGTATAGGAACATCTTTTCACCCACTCTCGGAGCGCATCAAGATCGGGCAAGCCCCATTTGAAAGGCTCGTCCGACTCGTCAACAGTCGGGTGGTAATAGGCATCCCTCTGGAGGTAAGGTTGGATTACGGTATGAACTAGGACGATTGAAGGCGTACCACAATTGGGTTCGGCCACTCTGGTTGGAGGTAAAGATCCTTGAATTTTTTCTTCTAAAGTGGAGGTGAGTAGAAGAACTGGACGAGGTTTGAATTACTTGCGAATCGTTTCCTAAACTTCGACTTGTTGTCCTCTGGTTTGTCCTTCCCAGGACTGCACCTTCGTCCACCAGTCTTTGAATTTATGCAGCCCATCCTCACCGGGAAACTCGTCCAAAAGTTCCATCGCGACGACTGGCCCGACGCCGGGAAGCCCTTCAACGTAATCGCTTCCAAGCAGATATGCAAGTCGAATGAGCGTGTCACGATCCAAACCAAGCTCGCGGACTTAGGTCAGAGAGTAGGAAACACTCGACCTGTTTTCGATTGGTTGAACATGTTTTTGAAGACGCGCTGGCTCCCAAACAAGAACACGTCCGAATCGTCCGTGATCACGCCGTTGACGAGCCCCAGATGGACGAGTTCGGCACACTGTGCTTCAGCTTCCATCGGCGCAGTGATGTATGGGATACCGAACAAGCCCAGCATCGTCTGGTGGTGATTTAGACGAAACCGAGTTGCCAACAGAGTAGTACACATACCATGATTTGCGATATCATCTGCTGGTTGATATCCTCGGAGTCGCGCATTGCCGCCTTCTTCTGTGCGTGCAGCACCTTGATCTCGTCGTCGATTTCCTGCCGAACGTCGTCCAGGTCCTTGCCCTTGACCTGGGACATGAACCGCGCAAATTCACCCTCCTCTGCGTCCGGATCCATTTCCTGAGCTGCGTCCCAGTCCTCCGCAACCGGGGAGGACGTCCTCGGTGGCGGTTGTTCCAACCCAACAACCATCGGCGACGGAGATCCGCGACCAGTCGCTGATGGGTTCATCGTCTACTACATCGTTCTGTGGGGTCGACGGGGGCGAGTTTTGGAGCGGTTCTACAAAAGCTCGGTCTACGACAACCTGCGTGGGCTCGGTGGCAACCTCGCCAGCGACGAATGGGTCGTCATCATTCACAGCATCCGCTAGAACGACAGCGGCATTGTTCATCCCACGGTCGGGGACTGGGTTCGATATTGTGGGCTCGAAAGTCGGTAATACCTCTTTCATCTCGTCATCAGACGAAGGCAGCGGCGTGGAAGGTCGTGGCGTCGACGATTGGAGCAACACTGGCGCTCCAAATATTGAGTCAGCTTCGTCCCGTACAACTTCGTTCAGTTCGGGTTCTGGTCGAGTTGTTGGCGGCGCGAGTTGTACGATAGGTCGCGATAGCGGGGAAGGCGGCACGGGTTTATTTGTAGGCCGCGGTAGAGGCGAAGGCGCCGCCGCTCTTGGAGGTGCAGGTGAAGGCGTCGTTGTCTGCAACAATACCGGTTCTCCGAACATTGAACTGAACGGCCTGGCTGCAGGCTTCGTCGGCGTCCGTACAGGACCTGCATTTGCAATAGACAACGCAAGCTCCAGACGATTTCCTTGCACAAAGCCGTCATCGTCGTGGAAAGAAAATCTGGAAACCGACTCGGACGGTCTGTGTGGCGTCGTGTCAACCAGTTTGGAAGACGATGCGACGGCGTTGACCATCACAGGCCGGCGGGGACGCGCAGTCGCCTGGCGCGCCTCGTTGGCTTGATCGATGGATTCCTGAATCGCTAAAGCAAGTTCGCCATCGTCTTCATCGTCAATCATCGGAGGAATGTCGGGGACGTCGTCCAGGTCAAAGAGCGGCGCCGCTTTCCTTGATGCTGTAGGCTTTTTCGGAACATGCCGGTTTGCGATGGCTGCAAGGTGCATCGACCGTTGATATTCTTGCAAGTCGGCGTCTGGTACTCCGGCTGTGGGACTAGATATTAGTGGAATTAGCATCGGACTACCGCGAAAACAACAGACAAACATTGGAACTTCTTCCATATCCTCATCGCTATCGTCCTCTGGAACAACTTTGGGATCCTGGTCAATCTCTATTGGTTTGTCCCGAGTTCCGTCGTCCCGGATGCCAAGAATCCATCCGCCATCGTGGCCCTCGTTTTTTCACCAACACGTACTCTCTGTTGCGCTCGCTCGCTACGCGCACGGGAATGGTGAGGTTCGCTTTGCCCATACTATCCGTGGTCATGAGCAGCTGCTGCGTCAAAGTGTTCCGCTGGCGCAGATTCTGAATCTGCTGTTTCGAAAAGTCGAGCGGAGTGGGGGCAAATTTGAGCATGTTCTGCAGACGAGCATAGGAGGTTTGTCGTGATTTAAGGCGGAGGTCTCCGACGATTTCGTACTGGACCTCGGTCTGGAAGCTCACGGAACGCAGGAGAAGGTGACATCAAAGTCTTCGGGACGCATATCCTCGATGAACTTCGCGCAGCTCGTCTTCAGTAGCCAGGCGTGGATCGGGTACTGCTGTCCGAGTTGCTTTTGCGACGGCAGCCTCAAGATCGACGTCGGGCAAGTGGTATGGATCATGATCATGGAACTTGGGCTTGATTGGAGACGGCGTCGCTGTAGGATTCCGGGCGGGGGTCTTGGGCATAGAAGGGTCAATGTCCTCGAGGTACACAGTGTTATCGTCCAGTACAACGGGGCCTGTAAGGCGCTTTGCCTTTGGCAGGTTTCCTGTAAGCAGCGAAATGAATTCAGGAAAGGTGAGAAGAATATACTGCATACGGTGCGCCTTTCGCGTGTTTCAAGGCTTCGCGTCTCAGTTGAGCAGCGAGAAGCTTTTCGGCTAGTTTGACATGGCTGGTGGCCGCGCCGCTCTTCTTCTTTCTCCGCTCATTCTAAAGAGGGTGAGGAACGAAGCTGTTAACACCGTACTTGAAACCTACAAGGGTGTTTCTCTTCAATGCGGGAGCAGCTCCGTCAAAAACAAAGACGGGTCTGATTCCGTAGAACAGGAGTTTAGCTATTCGCCGCAGAAAGCCAAGAACGTGAGCGTTTGATAGCGCCTTCCCGTCGTTATCGCGCATAGTAGCTTGGAATTGGTATATCCAGATGCTCGAGTCGATGGCCATTATTTGACCCTCCATAGTCTCGAGCCTAACCAATGTCTCAGTTACTGGGGGAAGTAGAGGTACGAGAACGCCGACATGACGGGCCTGCCGACTGGCGCGAGGAGCTTCCATAAAGACTTTACACCCATAGTCCATGGGCGTTGAGAACAAGAATGAGGAGCGCGTCCGCGAACGTGACTCCGCGAAGTGGCCGTGACACCTATTTAAGGACCCGAAAACGAGGGTGGCAATTCGGACTCTTGCCGACTCCCCCCACCAGCTCCAAAGGCGCGAGCCTTAGACGAGCAGCTGGGTAACGCAGCCATGACTTTCAGACGATTGCGACTATGCCTTCTTCAATCATCCGCGGGTGCTTGCTAGTCGGTCGAGGTAGCTGGCCTCTTTTTCTTCCCTTTTTTTCTCGCTCTTACTGAGGGCGCCAGGTTCTCTGATACACGCATCGCGTCCTCATTTGCTCAGCGGATGAGACCGAAGCCACGTCGGAGGTGCGTTCCTCTTTTCGTTGCCTTCTTTCACTGCTGACGTCGTTGAAAGAGGTCCCATTTACCACTTGCCGCTGCTGTGCACTATCCCAGTGTGCCTCGTCCGTAGGCGCCTCCTGAGGACGGTCCGCGCGGTTTGCAGGGTTT